CTGAGGCACAGAGAGGGCATCTGTCTGTGCAGTTAGCTAGATGTGAAGTCACTGGGCTTTGATATCACTTGGACAGGGGAATGGAAGGCCAGACAAAGCCAAGAACCTTGGCCAAGTTATTTGACATCTAAAATTCTTATCTCTGTCTCCTATGCTCTGTTTTTAGGCTCAGCATCAGGGGCAAAAAATGTTTCATAAGATTACCAGGAGGATCAAGTATACTAATATGCATAAAGTTCTGTAGATCAATTTAAATTTAGTCAATTAAGCTGACACCGTAGCTTAGTGGTAACGTGCTTGCCTGGCATCTGAGACCCTGGGTTCCATCTCAGTACTGCCATCCCCAATTCCTTCCAGTTTCAGAGGATCAAAGACCTAGATTGGCTTGCCTCATCCCTCTGGCCCAGGAGCTCATAAGGATAGGCAGAGATAGGGTGGAGTTCTAGTCATTCAAGGCTTGCTAGGTCTACAGTGTATTCTTTCAGGCTTACTCATGAAGCTGCTAGGCAGCTTCTCACAGGTTAGCTGGGAATCAGAGAAATAGGGGCTGTTGCTGTTTTCTTGTAACTGATCCTCGAAGTGAAACATAGGACTTCTGCTACTAGAGGGGATGAAGAAGTCCAATTGATCCCCAGGAAGCTGTTGTCACAGTTGTTAATAGGGTGGGACATTTATGGACCACTTAAAATAGCACTTGACATCCAATGAGCATTGTGTGAAAATTGGGGGACAGCTGTTGTCACTGTCATCACTGAAGGATGAAGAGCTGGTGAGAATAGGAGCTGAGGTTTGAAGCCCAGGACAGCCTGCATAATGAACTTCAGCTGCACTGACAGCCAGGAGTCAACCATGGATGTGTGGTAATCCGAGTAAGCATTTATGTACTGAGCAGAATGATAGATTCCAAATGGCATCTCTGTCTACAAGTCATGGTCTTCTGCCCTGGGCGGGGTGGGGGGGGGGAGATTCAACGGAGACTCTAGGGCAAAAGAATGAAGGGACAAGAGACACAAAGGAGGAACACAGGTCTGAATGTCTGATCAAGTGCTCAAACTTTATTCCTCAGGCTGCTGTTATAAAGACAAGCAGGCAGGAGGGTCATCAGTCAGAATCCAGGGCCATCGGTAATGGTAATTGTAAAGTTCTTTATGGCCACAAGCATTCCTTAGCCCAAACCAGTTATCTGAATATTTTCTCACAAGCAAGAGGACAATAAAACATTTCTCAAGTTGCTTATCTGGCTAATATTTTCACTCAGGCAGGAAGGCAATAAAGCATTCCTTAACTCAGGTTGTTTACCTAACTGGTATTTTCCCTCAGGCAGGAAGGCAATAAAGTCTTTGGCTCCCAGCAGTCTTCCTTATGGCTGACAAGACAACTCAGGAATTAGCTAGTAGTGCTTGCTGCCAAGCCTGGTGACTCAAGTTCTGTCCCCAGGACCCACAAGTACTGTGGCTCATGTGTGTCTACACATATCCATAAAACACAGATAAATAATTAAATGTTAGAAAAACTTTAAAAGCCATTGTTTTTTTAAAATTTTTGTAAATTAGTTGTTCATACACTAGGAAATATTTTCTTGGGTAGTGACATGTGAACTTTAAAGAAAAAGAAAGAGAGAAAAAAGGAAGAAAGGAAGAGAGAAAGAAAGAAAGAAAGGAAGGAAGGAAGAGAAAGAGAAAAAAGAAGGAAAGAAGGAAAAGGCACCTTTTAGATGGCAAGATCAATTTGTCAGCTTTCTATTAGTGTAAAATCTGAAACAATCAACTAAGGAGGAGGAAAGGTTAGTTTGGGCTCACAGTTCTGTTAGGTTTTAGTCATGGTTTATTGGTGTTTGTTTTTGAATCTGTGCTGAGGAGGCGTTCTCTGGTGGGGAGTATAGCGCAAAGTCGGTCAGCTTAGGGCCAGGAGGAAAAGAGGAAGAGGAAGGGGTTACTGTCTCCTCCAAGGGCACTCTGCAAATGAGGAAGACCGTCTGCTAGGCTAGTGATTCTCAACCTGCAGGTCTCAATCCTCTGTGGTGTTAAATGACCCTTTTACAAAGGTCCCCTAAGCTCATTGGGAAGCACAGGTACATTACGATTGGTAACAGTAGTGAAATTACAGCTATGAGGTAGTGGTGAAAATCATTTCCTGGTTCAAGAGGCTAAGGCTCAGGGCCTGTCTCAGTTGAAACAGTGAAGATGGTCCAGCCATACACTGTGTTCACAGTAGGTATGTGGTTGCATTAGCACGTCCCCTGTGGTTATGTAAAGTGTGACCACCAGGGAAAACTGGGCCAGGGCTGTGCAGGGAGTCTTCTAACTTCCTGCAAATCTTTAACCATTTCAAAATAAAAATATAAAACAATAACTATGTTTCGTCATTCCTAGGGGTCAGTAACCAGTGCCCCCACACTAGGCCTTTGTCCTTTCCAAGAAAGTATGAGCATGTTCTCCCTTGAGACCTCTCATGTCCCAGAGTTGTAAGTGTTCATTTCCTGCCAGGGCATAGCTAGCTGGGTTAAACTGGCATCTGCCAAAGATGTTTCTATCCAGTGAGCAGGTATGTTCACGTGGCGTTTCATCATTTGATAAATATTGTATTTCTATTAAAATTCTGTATATTACATTAGGTGTGATTTTTAGATGGAATCTTAACATATTGTTAAACAAATGATTCAGCCTGAAACACTTGAGTGCTGGCCAGAGATGGGGTGAGCAGAGTCTGAGAGTTGGCCTGTGTGGGAGGCAGGTGGGATGAGAGCCAGAGGAGGCCCAGCACTGAAACTGTATCTGCCTGCTCAGCCGTCTGTGTGGAGCCGGACCGGCATGTGGAGCCGGACCACTATGACCCTGTGAGGTGGTCTTTGGAGAACGAGTGTCAACTTTCTCCCATACAGACGTGTATATATTGGTTTCTTCCCCTAGTCTGAAAATACCATGTGATGTCATGCAGCCATGGGTGAGAAGGAGTTGTGTGATGAGGCCGTGGTAAGAAAGCCTTACTAAGCACACAGTGCAGTTGGTACACATCAGGGCTAGTTCCCCTCCTCACTCGCCTTCTCAGAGCTGCTTGTTTGGGTTCAGACAAGTGCTATTGCAACTTCAGCTGGAGTAAATGCAGTCACCATGGATAGATCTTTGGCAGTCTGTCACAGGGCAGTGGGAGGGCTTATTTGTGGTTTCCTTTATCAAAGCTTCTGAGATTTGTGCAAAGTTCTCAAGTGATTCCTAAGTGTCTGGTGCTTCCTACATTTGAGCCTGATGTTCTCTCTCCCCAAACTGACTACAAAGAACAGTACAAAGGAGGTGCTGTCTTTAAAGACTGCATTGTAGTATAGGACACTGGAAACAAAAACAGGTAATCTCAGGTTTTACAGCTAAGTAGGTGTGTGGCATTGCACTAATGAATGCTATTTCCATCTGTCAATAGACTGAGTTAGTGTTTGCTGTACTACAGTTAAAGAAAATTGCTTGGTTGAAGAAAGTGTGCAATGTACACTGGACTCTATAGGAGTGTGCGTGGTCAGCCATGCATGCTGGAGGGCATGGCAGCATGCACTGGACTCTACAGGAGTGTGCATGGTCAGCCGTGCATGCTGGAGGGCATGGCAGTGTGCACCAGCTTTGCTGATGATTCCTGGAAGAGGTAGAAATGAAGCAGATGACAAGGAATGTGATTTTACTTCCAGGCAAAAATATTTGCAGAATGTAACAGGCGTTCTTCCCTAAGATGCCCTCATCTGCACATGCCTATGTATGACAGAGTGAAGAGGAGTACAACACTAATGGCTTCATTTCAGTGTGTTGGCTTTTCAGCTAATTTTCTCTTCTTAAATATGTTCTAATTGTTGGAATATTTTGAAGTGAGTCTTTTTATTTGTATAATCATAGAAGAAATCTGGCTTGAGCCCTTTTTATTGTGAAGCATTGTGTTTAATGAAACACTGAAGACCTGGGGTGGGAGGTGAGAGGCAGAAATAGAATGTACACAAGGAGCCTTTTGTGCTACAGCTGCTGAGAGACTAGATTTCAGTCTTCAGAGAGACACAGGAAAGTCTGTCTTAGGGACAGAGAGACGTAGGGTTTACTGGTAATCCTGACCACGTGATCTTCTTCAGAGACATTTTCTGTCTAACTCCTCTTTTACTCAACTGAGAGAATATGACAGATTCATTGTGAGTCTTTCACAAATGATGGATGGGTGAATGCGCATGTGTGTGATTCAGTGAGCTTCTCTGGGTCGGAGCTATGTGGTGGGTAGAATGGATGGATGAATGCATGCAGGCGTGTGTGACTTGGTGAGTTGACATGCTCAAGGTTGAAGCAATATGGTGGATAGTAATGAAATGTCCGTTTCTTCTCCTGGAACCTCATGTCACATAATGAGCCAGTATACCTGGGGAATGGATTTGAGGGGTGGGTTGTGGCTGTACCCCAGTGTCTGTTTTCCTTTGTATGATCTTATGTGGGGTTGGGGATAGATTTGGTCACTGGTTCTTCCTGGTGTCTCAGTTTCCCCATCTATAAAGTAGTAGCTGAGCTAGTTTCTGGGATGAATGTATAAGCACATAGCCTGAGACAAGTCATGTGATCCACGGGATCTGGTCTGGTATGAGACACCCCAGCTGAACTGTGTTTAGTATGTGTGCCTCTGTCAATGGAGAAATATTACCAAGTGCCTGACCCTCAACAGACACCTGGCAGGCAGGTGGATTCCCATAGCATGTGCTTACACTCCAAGTCTGTAGGCACAGGAAACAGTCAGCATTTACCAACATTCCAAAACCACAGTTCCAGAAAGTTCCAGAATGCATTCAGAAGTATGGGCTTAGTCCAGTCATTTTCAGTGCTGAGCTGTGAAACAGGATAGCACATTAACATTTATAAGATACAAATTGTGTGCTTTTTTTTTTTATCACACAGATTCCTTCCCCTGCTTAGGGTGGAAATTTTTAGTTTTTAAATTTGTCTCTCTCTCTCTCTCTCTTTTTTTCCTTAACATTCTTATACCTGCAGAGAAAACGAGGTGCTCAAAGTCCAGCTGAAGAAGTACGTAGGAGCTGTCCAGATGCTGAAAAGAGAAGGTCAACCAGCTGAAGGTGAGGTGGAGATCAGCCCCTGGGGGAGGGCTGGCTATATTCCCTGGGCAGGCTCAGAGTGTACAGAGACATGCATAATAGAAGCCTGTGCTGGCTGCATTCCAGAGTCAGAGAAACCTTTGCTGTATATTCTTGCTAAATGAAAACTAAGCCTCATGGTTTAGTAACAGTTGTATGATGTGAGCACTTATGTACTTTAGATCTAGGATATTGTGAGCCTTGCAGGATGGTTGAGTGACATGAGGCCAGGGGTGTAAGCAGCAGAACTCACACAGATGAGAACTCAGACCTCCCTGAACTCAGACTTGCCAGGATGTCATCCCAGCTCTCTTGTAGTTTCTTAATTGCCCTGTATCTCAGTTTTCTCATTTGTAAAATGGGATAGTTGGCAGTAGGCAACATATGGATTAGCACAGGATAGGTACTGGGTAATGTTTGGTCGTTACTATTATTTGTTATTTTAATTTTGACAATTTTATGCATATGTGCAATGTGCTGAGATCATATTCACCCTTACCCCCTCTCTTACCCCTTCACTCCTCTCTCTTACCCACATCACTCCTGATAACTCCTTTCTTCCCAGCTTGTACCCTCCTCTGTTTATGAGCCCACAGAATATGCATATGGGGCTCAGAGGCCAACCTCTGTGGTGTTCCTCAGGAGGCGTCCACTTTATTATTAGAGGCATGGGATCTCCCTGACCCTGGGGCTCACCAATTGGCCAGCCTGCATGGCTAGTGGGCTCCAGGGATCCATTTGTCTCCTCTTCCTCAGCAGTGGGATTGCAAGCATATGTCATAGTACCAGCTTTTTCATACAGATGCTAGGGACTGAACTCAGGTTCTTGGGTGTGCATGGCAAACCCTTTATTAATGGCACCATTTTCCCAACCCCTGGGCTTGCTTTTGATTTGAAAAAACAGCACTATGAGATGCACTTCTGAATCAGGATTTTGGGAGCACTTTTCTTCAAATGCACAAGCAGAGTCCATAGTGTGCAGATTGCAGCTGAAGTTCCATTTCTCAAGATGCAGCCTGTGTGCTCTGAAGCAAAGCTGGGTGTGAGCCTTCTCAACATGCAGTGTGATGACCCTGGTTGAACTTCAGTAAGATGACCAGCATAATCCATTGCCAAGTAGCAGTAGCACCCTTTCATGTTCTCCTACTGTGTGTTAAGACACACTGTGTGCCTGGGCCATGCTCTCCTACTGTGTGGTTTAAGACACATTGTGTACCTGGGTGTCCTCTCTCACTGCAGGGCTTATAGGGATGAGCTCAGTACTGGCCAACACCATTTGCCTTGTTGTTGCTTGTGGGGTCCTGTGAGTCTCTCCTTTTCATCACAGTTATTGAAAGAGCGTCAGCCATGTGCCAGCACTGTGAAACAGGCTTGCACCATAGACTAGACCTAAGCCCCGACACTCAAAGCTGGGGCAAAAGGTTTGTTAGTTCAGAGCTAGCCTGAGCTGCATAGTGAGACCCTGTTCTCTGTCCCCAACCCTTCTTCTGGATTTGGCCATTACAAATTGCACTGTGCAGGTATGTACTGAATAGTTATATGGTACTCTACAGCTGTGTGTAATAATGTGTTTGTTTAAAAAGAATAGTTGTAAAGGCAGTGCTTTCCAAAGTTGCACAGCAGTTGTCTTCCAGAGCGCTCATCTTCCTTCTTAGTAATTAGGACTGTCTCCTCAGGCCCTGGTCCAGTCTGGGTCCTGGTGCCTACAGGCTTACAGGAGTTGGAGTCCCCACACTGAGAGCCTGGAGGAAGGGATTCTTTGCCCATCTAATCCATGATGTCCCTTGGCTTCTTTTATCAGGGATGGACATGCCCGTGTCTGTTCCCTGACTCCTAGGAGGGAACTGAGAATATATTTTAATAGCGTAAGCAAGTTTAGTTGCAAGTATAAAGTATCTTTTTAATCTGTGGCAAAACTGACTAATACAAATGTGAGCTCATCAGAGGGAAGAGACTGAAAGTCTTTTTAGCCCCATGTGCCCTTGTACTTGACAGCAGTCGTGAGAGCTGACAGCAATCTTCATCTTTATCTTTATAATCTTGTTTTAGAAAACACCTCCAGGGTTAAAATGTACATAACACAAAATTAACTGTAAAATACGATGTCAACCTCTGCCTTTACAGGTACAAATCCTCTCCTGTTTGAAAGGCTTTCTGTTGTGGTTGTGAGTGGGGCTGGGTTGTTCTCCACTGACCACTGCATTTCCTAGCCAGGTCGGGGGCTTGTGAAAGCTTGTATCTATCTCCCTTTGCTTTGGCTCTTACTCTGGAGGTTACCTTTGTGATCTTCCTGCAGTGTTACAACTTTGGCAGGAGGGCCACCGTACCCCCTAGGGACCAGCTTGGCAATTAAGCACCCATTGTAACTTCTCTGGCATTAGACCAACTCTGTTCATGAACTTGGATTCCTTCCTGTTCTCCAGGGAGCTAGTTTTATGTATGACTAGAGAGCCAACGTTGACTCTCCATGCTTTTGATTTTATCTGTGGGAGCAGGGAAGATGCTCAGTGAGGAAAGTGCCTTAAACTTCTGAGCTTGGTCTCTAGAAGCTAACTTACCAGGCTGGCTGTGGTGGTGCACACTTGAAATCCCAACCCTGGAGAGGAGCAAGGCAGAGTCGGGGGATCTTTCAGGCTCCTGAGGCTGCTAGACTAGCTAACTTGGCAATCTCTAGGGTGGCGAAATGGTTTTGGCCTAAGAATAGAGGAGGCCTTAGGCCACACATATAGATAGATAGATAAATAAATCCCCAGCCAGGGTCTTCCCTGTGGCCTGGCCACTCCTCTGACACTGTGGAAGGTTAGTGCTCCTGTCATTCTATGCACACATAGAAACCAAAAGCCCACAGGTAGATGTGTGCCAGGCCACACACACAGTCAGGCTTCTGCAGGGATACAGACTATGTGCATGTGCAGGGGGGTGTTTTTGGAAACTGGCTAGTGTGAGTGTGGCCATCCATCGACTTCGTCATCTACAAGGCGTCCTCGGCCGAGAGACCTAGGAAGAGTCGATGTCACAACTCGACCTGTCCAGAAAGTAGAAGTCAAGTTTCCTGCTTGAAGCCAGGCAGTGGTGGCGCACACCTGTAATCCCAGCACTTGGGAGGCAGAGGCAGGCGGATTTCTGAGTTCGAGGCCAGCCTGGTCTACAGAGTGAGTTCTAGGGCAGCCAGGGATACACAGAGAAATCCTGTCTCGAAAAACAAAACAAACAGAAAAGATTATTGCTTGCACCTACTAGATCCAACATGTATTCCTTTCCTCCAGGTTTGATCTCCCAGGAGGTTTTTCGATCAGGAGATTCATGGGTCGGTCCCCAGCCTGAGTGACCTGTGCTAGCTCACTGAAGAGCTGGCCTGGGCACACAGGCTCTGTCTTCGCTCAGCTATTTCACTGGTCCACATTGCCATTTCACTTTATTCTGAGGAAATAAACTATATGTTTGGGGGAAGATATCTGTTTGGATAGCCAGAGCCAGTCATGTACGTCTGTCTATACAGACAAGGATCAGAGTAGATGCCCTCTTAGAGCAGACTTCAGACCCTTTACCTCACATTTAGCAGTGGTGCTGTATCCAGATAGACATGCTTGCTATAGGTGGTGGAGAGTGCAGAGTAGGAGGAAGCCTGGAGAAATGATCCCTAGAGAAGGCTAAGGCAGGGCTGTGGGTTCAGTCTCCTCACTATCTGCCTTTAATGGCTCCATGTTCTTGCTTGAAGTTATTTCAGAGCTTCTAATGTTCATTTGGGGGCTGAAGGTAATGACGGTGGCTTTCTGGACTCTGCTCTGTGTGCTCGGGACAAGCAATGAAAGCGATAACAAGCGATGGCAATGGCAAGCGGTGACACACATCAAATAGCAGGCAATTTTAAGTTGGGTTGGGGATGTTTTGAAGCTTCAAGTTGAGGACGGTCAGGTGAATTAGCAGACATCTGTCAATTAGTTTCTGAAAGGTGAGTGATTGTGGTAATAACAGTCTAGTGAACCTCTCTGAAAGTATTGCAGCCATTATCCACATGAAATAGTATCTGGGAGAGGAAAAAGCTTCCTGTCCTATAAACAAAACCCTGAGAAGTGGTTTTTCTATCTGCCCAAGGGACTGAGGTCCTAGCAGTTGCCGTGGATCTCTCTCCTCTCTCTCTGTCTCTCTGTCTCTCTCTGTCACACACACACACACACACACACGGTGTTAATATATTGTAATTGCCCATGCTGACTGTTAATCTGGACTCAACTGATTCTTTTGACTTAGACGGCAAGTAGCAAGGACTACATCCACCCAAAGGGTAGAAATGTGTATGCAGGTTCATATGTGTGCATCCTGTATTATTTTTAAAACTTCTATTATTACTTTGTGTGTAGGTATGAGGTGTATGTGCCATGACACCTGTGGAGGCTAGAGCATAGCTTGTGGAATCAGGTCTCTCCTTCCACCTTTATGTGAGTTCCAGGGATTGAACTCAGGTCTCCAGTCTTGCTCAGCAAGTGTCCTTACCCACTGAGCCATATTACCTGCCATTCACCTCAGCTTTTGAGAAATGCTCTCTCACTGAACATGGAACTGGTTTGGTTATACAGGCCTGTAGGTTCTCATGCCTCAGCTCCCCCAGTGCTGGAATTACAGCTATGTTTCCATGCTCAATTGTTTGCATGAGTGCACTTTACTAAGTTCTGTTCTCAGACGTAAAAGGGTTCTTTTTTTTTTTTAAATTGAATTTATTGAAAAAGCCTAGAGAGTAATACAGCTAGTACAGTCTGTATTCCTCTCTGAGAGTTAACACATTTGTATTTTCCATACATATTTCAGATTTTATAAAAAAAGATTTGTTATAGTTAGATTTATGTTGCTGTGATAAAACACTGACCAATAGCAACTTGGGGAAGAAGAAATGGTTGATTTGGTTTTTGCTTTCTTTCTTGTCATAGTCTACCTGGGTGAAGGCAGAGCAGGAAGTCACGACAGAAGCCTTGTGGAGGACTGTC